AATGCCATCTGTGCTGGAGTCAGGCATTTCTCTCTCCCCTCTTCTAGGGTGGCATGGGACCACCTCTCTTTCATAGCCAGGGAACAGAGGACAATACACAGAAGATGGGGTTACCTAAGGGAAACTTAATTGAAAGATGTGGGCGAATATGTAAATATTCAGATATACAGACACAAATAAAGCCTTGCCTATTAGTAAATTGCAAGATCCCTTAACAGCTCCCAAGGGACTATGGGCAAGGACCTACCTCAAGCCATTTAATTGTGGGGAGAGAGAAAAAAAACAAAAACTTTCAAAAGTATATATGTTTTAGAACTTCAATCTTGACCTTGTAATACTAGCTTTTTTTAAAGACAGGAAAAAATGAAAGTTTTGAGAATAGTTGGGTTTTTTTGGTTTGTTTGTTTTTTTTTGCAAAATGGACCAAAAGAATCCCAGGAAAGATGTCAGTTCAGTTCAGTCATAATCCCTGATAATGAGAGTTGGATCTCTGACAAGTTGTTTGTAACTGAAATTACTTATTAAATTAGCCAAAATAGTTATGGACTAACTGAGGGAAGACTTCTCATCACAAATCGCCAATAATTCTAATCATCACCTACGTTATCAATTTCTTAAATGGGACTTGCATATGTGGGTTACTTTAGTTGGTTGGTGGAGCTCTTTTTCCAACATCTGATGATGAAAAGTTTCAACTCTACAAGAAAGTTGAAGAAATTATGCTGTGGGTACCAGCAGCACCTAGATGTAACCACTGACACTGTATAAACCTTACCACATACCTATCCATCTACCCATCTCTGTCCATTTTATCAGTCTCTTCCTTTAAACCCATCTTTGTGTCTATGCACCTCCAAATTCAGGTTTTGCAGCCATCAGGCTACTTTTAAGTGGTGGTCCTTAAAAAAAGTTAATTGAATATATATCAATGTTAGTTAAGAAAGGAATGGCATTGAGATATTATTTTTTTATTTCACTTGAGATATAACCCTCTGATAATCTCACCAATATTAACCTAGAAGCCATGGTTTTACAAATAAGGCAAAAGATTGTTGCCAGAGACCAAAATGCCACATGCAGCCATCTAAGAACTGAGTAATGCCAACACTGTGGGCGACTTGCGGCAATTGGACACTATGGGGACGGTAAGAACGTGGCTGAAGAAACAGTATGATTATCTTAACAGGACAGCTTCGTGTTTAACCCGGTATTGTGTGAGAAGTGATTAGCAACTTTCACAGCTATTTAAAAGAGAACAGGAAAGAACTGGGCAAAGGAGTGTTCAATCCCAAAAGGTGTGTGTGTGTGTGTGTGTGTGTGTGTGTGTGTGTGTGTGTT